TAGTCTAGTCTATAGTCTAGTCTATAGTCTAGTCTATAGTCTAGTCTATAGTCTAGTCTATTCTAGTCCATGGCTAGTCTATAGTCTAGTCTATAGTCTAGTCTATGTCTAGTCTATAGTCTAGTCTATGGTCTAGTCTATAGTCTAGTCTATAGTCTAGTCTATAGCCAAGTCTATAGTCTAGTCTATAGCCAAGTCTATAGTCTAGTCTATAGTCTAGTCTATAGTCTAGTCTATAGTCTAGTCTATAGTCTAGTCTATAGTCTAGTCTATAGTCTAGTCTATAGTCTAGTCTATAGTCTAGTCTATAGTCTAGTCTATAGTCTAGTCTATAGTCTAGTCTATAGTCTAGTCTATAGTCTAGTCTATAGTCTAGTCTATAGTCTAGTCTATAGTCTAGTCTATAGTCTAGTCTATAGTCTAGTCTATAGTCTAGTCTATAGTCTAGTCTATAGTCTAGTCTATAGTCTAGTCTATAGTCTAGTCTATAGTCTAGTCTATAGTCTAGTCTATAGTCTAGTCTATAGTCTAGTCTATAGTCTAGTCTATAGTCTAGTCTATAGTCTAGTCTATAGTCTAGTCTATAGTCTAGTCTATAGTCTAGTCTATAGTCTAGTCTATAGTCTAGTCTATAGTCTAGTCTATAGTCTAGTCTATAGTCTAGTCTATAGTCTAGTCTATAGTCTAGTCTATAGTCTAGTCTATAGTCTAGTCTATAGTCTAGTCTATAGTCTAGTCTATAGTCTAGTCTATAGTCTAGTCTATAGTCTAGTCTATAGTCTAGTCTATAGTCTAGTCTATAGTCTAGTCTATAGTCTAGTCTATAGTCTAGTCTATAGTCTAGTCTATAGTCTAGTCTATAGTCTAGTCTATAGTCTAGTCTATAGTCTAGTCTATAGTCTAGTCTATAGTCTAGTCTATAGTCTAGTCTATAGTCTAGTCTATAGTCTAGTCTATAGTCTAGTCTATAGTCTAGTCTATAGTCTAGTCTATAGTCAAGTCTATAGTCTAGTCTATAGCCAAGTCTATAGTCTAGTCTATAGTCTAGTCTATAGTCTAGTCTATAGTCTAGTCTATAGTCTAGTCTATAGTCTAGTCTATAGTCTAGTCTATAGTCTAGTCTATAGTCTAGTCTATAGTCTAGTCTATAGTCTAGTCTATAGTCTAGTCTATAGTCTAGTCTATAGTCTAGTCTATAGTCTAGTCTATAGTCTAGTCTATAGTCTAGTCTATAGTCTAGTCTATAGTCTAGTCTATAGTCTAGTCTATAGTCTAGTCTATAGTCTAGTCTATAGTCTACTCTATAGTATAGTCTATAGTATAGTCTATCTAGTCTATAGGCTAGTCTATAGTCTAGTCTATAGTCTAGTCTATAGTCTAGTCTATAGTCTAGTCTATAGTCTAGTCTATAGTCTAGTCTATAGTCTAGTCTATAGTCTAGTCTATAGTCTAGTCTATAGTCTAGTCTATAGTCTAGTCTATAGTCTAGTCTATAGTCTAGTCTATAGTCTAGTCTATAGTCTAGTCTATAGTCTAGTCTATAGTCTAGTCTATAGTCTAGTCTATAGTCTAGTCTATAGTCTAGTCTATAGTCTAGTCTATAGTCTAGTCTATAGTCTAGTCTATAGTCTAGTCTATAGTCTAGTCTATAGTCTAGTCTATAGTCTAGTCTATAGTCTAGTCTATAGTCTAGTCTATAGTCTAGTCTATAGTATAGTCTATAGTCTAGTCTAGTCTTTAGTCTAGTCTATAGTCTAGTCTATAGTCTAGTCTATAGTCTAGTCTATAGTCTAGTCTATAGTCTAGTCTATAGTCTAGTCTATAGTATAGTCTATAGTCTAGTCTATAGTCTAGTCTATAGTCTAGTCTATAGTCTAGTCTATAGTCTAGTCTATAGTTTAGTCTATAGTCTAGTCTATAGTCTAGTCTATAGTCTAGTCATAGTCTAGTCTAGTCTAGTCTATAGTCTAGTCTATAGTCTAGTCTATAGTCTAGTCTATGGTCTAGTCTCTAGTGTCTATGGTTCAATCTATAGCCTTTTTTAGACATTAATTTATTTTCTACCCTTTGTTTCGACACTCTGTTAAAGAATAATCAATTCATTAAAAATAAAAAATTCACAATTGTCTTTAAGATCAAAGACAATAAGTTTTTGTTTTGTTTTCTCTTAAAATCTCTCAGAAAGCCACTTAAAACATCATTATTATGTATTGTTTTGCTCTCACAATATTTTGTTTACATCCTTAAAACAACTAAAACAAAGACCTGGCTACTCAATGACTGTCATACAAACTGCTATGGCTGTCTGTAGTTTCCTCTATTCGTCATTCATTCAGTTTGTTGTTGTAACTATTGTGGTTGCTTTATTAAGCTTTAAAAATTAAATTTTCTACACATTATCCTTTACATAAAAAGATATCTACATATACTATAAAAGCTGTAACAAAAAAATATATAAACTATTTAATACAGACATATAAAACCTAAGTATGTAGCAAACACATATTGACCTTTGTCCTTTAGCAGGCTACCCACAGAAATTTATTCAAAGATGTTTGTATGTTGTGCAGCAGTCAGTACCTTTAAGTTTATTTATTCTGCTAAAGGTACAAGTATTATTGTTTTTGCTCTTTTAGCCTTTTTCTTTCCTCTTTATTGTCCTGCTTTGTTGGCTGGCGTTGCTATAAGAGGCCACCTTAACATCTTTAAGTAGTTTTTTTTATTTTTTGTACTTTGATGATGGTAGTAAATGTTTTCATATTGCCGCTACTGCTGCTGTTGCTGCTACAGTTTGTTTTCGTTACTTTTAAGTATATTTTTTAAGACGGTGCTTTCAGTTTGGGTCTTTTTGTTTCAGGGGAATAAATGATGCTTATCTATTTTATTTATGGCTGTTGACTAAAATTAAATTAAAGTAGTATTTTTTGTTCGTCTTAATGATATTTTTTATGGACAAGAAAAACTTAATCGATATTAAGTAAGGAAAATTTTATCAGGTGCAAATTTATTGGAAAATAATAAAATTTAAAATAAAAATTTCTTGAAAGATACCGAATAGACTATAAAAAGACCATAAACTAAACCACAGATGAGAGCATATATACTAGACAATAGACTAGACTATAAAATAGACTACAGGCTAGACTATAGACTAGCCTAGACTATAGACTAGACTAGACTATAGACTAGACTACAGACTAGACTATAGACTAGACTATAGACTAGACTGTAGACTAGACTATAGACTAGACTATAGACTAGACTATAGACTAGACTATAGACTAGACTATAGACTAGACTATAGACTAGACTATAGACTAGACTATAGACTAGACTATAGACTATACTATAGACTAGACTATAGACTAGAATATAGACTAGATTATAGACTAGACTGTAGACTAAACTATAGACTAGACTAGACTATAGACTATATTATAGACTAGACTATAGACTAGACTATAGACAAGACTATAGACTAGACTATAGACTAGACTATAGACTAGACTATAGACTAGACTATAGACTAGACTATAGACTAGACTATAGACTAGACTATAGACTAGACTATAGACTAGACTATAGACTAGACTATAGACTAGACTATAGACTAGACTATAGACTAGACTATAGACTAGACTATAGACTAGACTATAGACTAGACTATAGACTAGACTATAGACTAAGACCATAGACTAGACTATAGACTAGACTATAGAGAGTATGGACTAGACTATAGACTAGACTATAGACTAGACTATAGACTAGACTATAGACTAGACTATAGACTAGACTATAGACTAGACTATAGACTAGACTATAGACTAGACTATAGACTAGACTAGACTATAGACTAGACTATAGACTAGACTATAGACTAGACTATAGACTAGACTATAGACTAGACTATAGACTAGACTATAGACTAGACTATAGACTAGACTATAGACTAGACTATAGACTAGACTATAGACTAGACTATAGACTAGACTATAGACTAGACTATAGACTAGACTATAGACTAGAACTATAGACTAGACTAGACTAGACTATAGACTAGACTATAGACTAGACTATAGACTAGACTATAGACTAGACTATAGACTAGACTATAGATTAGACTATAGACTAGACTATAGACTAGACTATAGACTAGACTATAGACTAGACTATGACTAGACGATAGACTAGACTATAGACTAGACTATAGACTAGACTATAGACTAGACTATAGACTAGACTATAGACTAGACTATAGACTATGATGGTTAAAGTACTTAGACTAGACTATCGACTGAACTATAGTCCAAACTGTAATGGTTAAAGTATTATTGTGGTGTTTTTGGCTAAAATGTTTATGAAATTCAAATTCCTTCTCTTAAGCTATAATATGAAATATTATGATTGTTATGCATCCTTAAAAACATGCTATACTTTTGTGGAATTCATTATTTAGCTTTAATTTTACTTTAAGTTGTTAATTTTTTGTGGTTTTTATTAAATAGCTTTAATTTTTTTTTTGCAATATTTGTGATAATTTTACAGCGCTTAAACTACAACCTCTTACCAGTGTTTCCTGTGTGGGCAAAATCGAAAAATTAAGAAAAAGAACTTTATTATAAATCAATTGAATATTATGTAGGTTTTGCTAGACAAGAAAGCTAGATAGTTATATACAGCAGGGTGCAAAACGTAAGCAATCTAGCAATAATTTTGAAATTTTACTGGAACATTTTTATGAGGGAAAACCATTTCCAAAATGGGAATATGTTGGTTTGTATTGTTGGTAAAAGCTGAGTGCAGTATATATTTGCTAATATTGTATGATGATTCTAACCGACACACATTCTAAAGTAATGTTTGCTAAGTTTGATTATAACTTTAAAAGAAGTAAAATATATTTACATAGTTTTGATATTTGTTTAATACAAGAAAAAACAGTTTAGATTACATAATTTTATTTATTCTATAATAAATTTAGTATTAAAACTTTTACTTACAATTTTATGATGCAGAGCTGATAATTCACGTTCGGTAACACGTCGACTGGCCGCTTCGCGACGTCTTTGACGAAATTGACTGTATTTATAGGCCAGCATAACACCTGGCAAGGCCAAGGCCTCAAAAGGTGATTTACGACCAAAAGGCATGGTTTTTTTATAGGTGAATTATTATTAATGTTATAAAATTATTAAATAAATTTTATATTTTAAGAAAGTTGATTATTTTTTTTTTATAAATTATTGTATTTTTTATTAATTTTATAAAAATTTTGTTGAAAATATTGCTTTTGTTGCTTAATGATGATAAGTATAGTTAAGAGAAGTTGAGCTTTTTAGATTTTTTTGATTATTTTTTTAATTTCTATTTAATTTCTTTAGTTGAGCCTTTATGCGAATTTTGCTGAAATTTTGTTCAAGTTTTTTGGTTTTTATAAACATTATTTCTGGTTTATTTAAGAGGTTTAATGTTTTTGTTGACTATACAGTATTCTGCCCTCTCTCCTTCCTTGTTTTTTTTACTTATTTGTTTAAAGGCTCATGTGCTTAATTTGTATTCAATTTATTTGCTATAATTTTTGTTTATTTTTTGCTGCTTTTCATAGGCTTTAATATTTTTTATTTATTTTCTATTCCTTCATTTCTTGTTCTTACAAAGTATTCTATTGTTATTGTGTTTTATGTCTTTTTTGCCAATTTTCTTTAATATATTCTTACAAGTAAACTATTGATGGATAGCATTCTGTTGAATAGTAACACAAACTATAGTTCCTGTGGAAAATTTTGTCCTTATTCATTATAGTATAAACCTATTAATTTTCATATTAAATTTGTTCCATTAAACTTGATTATGTACAAATATCTAAAATTTAATTTCAGCTAACAGGACGTATGATTAATATTTATTTAAATAATATTAACTAACGCAAGAACTGAGCTAGAATTAGAGCAAAACTGGAAAAGAGCAAGAACTGAACTAGAACAGGACTAGAGAAAAACTAGAACAGAACTAGAAAAGAACTAGGACAGAACTAGACCAGAACTAGACCAGAACTAGGACAAAACTAGGCCAGAACTAGGACAGAACTAGACCAGAACTAGACCAGAACTAGGACAGAACTAGAACTGAACTAGAACTGAACTAAAACTGAACTAGAACTGAACTAGAACTGAACTAGACCTGAACTAGAACCGAACTAGAACCGAACTAGAACTGAACTAGGACAGAACTAGAACTGAACTAGAACTGAACTAGAACTGAACTAGAACTGAACTAGAACTGACTAAACTGACTAGAACTGAACTAGAACTGAACTAGAACTGAACTAGAACTGAACTAGAACTGAACTAGAACTGAACTAGAACTGAACTAGAACTGAACTAGAACTGAACTAGAACTGAACTAGAACTGAACTAGAACTGAACTAGAACTGAACTAGAACTGAACTAGAACTGAACTAGAACTGAACTAGAACTGAACTAGAACTGAACTAGAACTGAACTAGAACTGAACTAGAACTGAACTAGAACTGAACTAGAACTGAACTAGAACTGAACTAGAACTGAACTAGAACTGAACTAGAACTGAACTAGAACTGAACTAGAACTGAAACTAGAACTGAACACAACTAGAACTGAACTAGAACTGAACTAGAACTGAACTAGAACTGAACTAGAAACTGAACTAGAACTGAACTAGAACTGAACTAGAACTGAACTAGAACTGAACTAGAACTCAACTAGAACTGAACTAGAACTGAACTAGAATCTAACTAGAACTAAACTAGAACTGAACTAGAACTGAACTAGAACTGAACTAGAACTGAACTAGAACTGAACTAGAACTGAACTAGAACTGAACTAGAACTGAACTAGAACTGAACTAGAACTGAACTAGAATTGAACTAGAACTGAACTAGAACTGAACTGAAAACTAGAACTGAACTAGAACTGAACTAGAACTGAACTAGAACTGAACTAGAACGAACTAGAACTGAACTAGAACTGAACTAGAACTGAACTAGAACTGAACTAGAACTGAACTAGAACTGAACTAGAACTGAACTAGAACTGAACTAGAACTGAACTAGAACTGAACTAGAACTGAACTAGAACTGAACTAGAACTGAACTAGAACTGAACTAGAACGTAACTGAAACTGAATAGACTAAATGAACTGACTAGAACTGAACTAGAATGAAACTAGAACTGAACTAGAACTGAACTAGACTGAACTAGAAATGAAATAGAACTGAACTAGAACTGAACTAGAACTGAACTAGAAACTCGAACTAGAACTGAACTAGAACTGAACTAGAACTGAACTAGAACTGAACTAGAACTGAACTAGAACTGAACTAGAACTGAACTAGAACTGAACTAGAACTGAACTAGAATGAACTAGAACTGAAACTAGAACTGAACTAGAACTGAACTAGAACTGAACTAGAACTGAACTAGAACTGAACTAGAACTGAACTAGAACTGAACTAGAAACTGACTAGAACTGAACTAGAACTGAACTAGAACTGAACTAGAACTGAACTAGAACTGAACTAGAACTGAACTAGAACTGAACTAGAACTGAACTAGAACTGAACTAGAACTGAACTAGAACTGAACTAGAACTGAACTAGAACTGAACTAGAACTGAACTAGAACTGAACTAGAACTGAACTAGAACTGAACTAGAACTGAACTAGAACTGAACTAGAACTGAACTAGAACTGAACTAGAACTGAACTAGAACTGAACTAGAACTGAACTAGAACTGAACTAGAACTGAACTAGAACTGAACTAGAACTGAACTAGAACTGAACTAGAACTAGAACTGAACTAGAACTGAACTAGAACTGAACTAGAACTGAACTAGAACTGAACTAGAACTGAACTAGAACTGAACTAGAACTGAACTAGAACTGAACTAGACACTGAACTAGAACTGAACTAGAACTGAACTAGAACTGAACTAGAACTACTAGAACTGAACTAGACCTGAACTAGAACTGAACTAGAACTGAACTAGAACTGAACTAGAACTGAACTAGAACTGAACTAGAACTGAACTAGAACTGAACTAGAACTGAAGCGATCTAGGACCGAACTAATTCTGAAATGAAACTGAACTAGAATTGAACCTATGTTACTTTAGTTTTGTTGTGTTATTTAGAGTACTTTTACTCTTTAGTAATACGTATGTATGAATAATTGTATGGGTGAATACATATAAAAACTAGTGTGAGTAAAAGAAATTAGTTTGCTTGTTGTTTGTTTTATTATTTTTGTAAGAAAGTTGTATGTTTTTTATTATTTTTTTGTCTTGTATTCTTTTTGTGATATACAAAGGAATTTGTCTATATTTTTACTTATTTTATAATATTACACCATTGTTGTTTTTTCAGAGTTGGGGGTAGTGCACTAAATTTCCAGTTTCCACTAAAAGTTAGTGATAGTGCAAAATTTTTCACTATCACTAATAGCTATTTAGTGGTGAGTTGAAAAATAACAGCCTCACTAAGCAATAGTGGTAGTGGTAAAAGAAAAATTTTCACTAAAATTAATTTAGTGATAGTGAGAAACCTTTTTTTTACAGCTTAGTGCAATTTTTTTTTCTCCACTAACAGGATAGTGGAAAAATATAATCATTCACTAATGTTAATGGGACTCAAAAACATATCATTATATTGAATTATTTTATATTTTTTTATTTTTATTATTTATTAAATTAATTAAGACTAATATTAAAGTAGTAATAAAAAAAACATAAGAAAATAATTATACAAAAAAATAAGGAATTTTCATTAAAACACACAGCTGTTTTGTTTATGTTTGTCATAGAAAAATAGAGCATGCTCTAATTGATAAAAAATTACATATATATTTCCATGTGTATTTTACATATGCAATGTTTCATATGTATCAGACGATATGTACAACTTTTACATATGGAAAATTTGACAGTACATATGTAAAATACATGCCGTGTGATAACACCTTTAAAAATTTTAAGTTTTATTTAATTTTTTTATGCAATAAAAATAATAAAATGAAAATATTTTGACTATATTTTCAATTTGTTTGAAATATTTTTATAAACACTATTTTTTTGAGATTTTAGTGCATATAATATAATTAAAGCATTCATGTAGTGACTGTTAAAAATTTGCACTATTTTATTGTAGTGCAAAATTTTCACTACCACTAATGGTTAGTGGTAGTGGAAAAATTTTACACTACCACTAATTTTTTTAGTGGTAGTTAAAACATGTTTCACTACCACTAATTTTTTTAGTGGTAGTTACGATATGTTTCACTACCACTATAGTGATGAAAAATAGTGGAAAATCAAAATGTTGTCACTATAGTGGGATTTAGTGAAAACATTAGTGCACTAAATATTTAGTGCACTACCCCCAACTCTGGTTTTTTTATTATTTATTCATTATTTTATGTCTCATTTTTATGATTACATGTTAATAACACTTTTGTTGTTGTTGTTTTTGTTATATTTACAATTATTAATTGAGTAATTCTGTTGTTGTTTTAGTATTTATTAGTTGCTAGTTTTTGTTGTTGTTATTTTGTTATATTATTTATGGTCATTTGCTTATAATTTTTTTTCGGATGATAAATGTAAGTTAAAGACCAGTAGTCATGCAGAAGAGAAGCAGTAGTATTAGTTTGTGTTTTTTTTTTTTTGCATTATATAGCAAATGAAAAACCTTGACCTAACTCGTTCGTTTTGGGAATTAATCATAGTTAGGGGTTAAAGAAGAAAACTTGTGTTTCTTTTTTGAATTTCATTTCAAATAGTTTATGTTTATTTTACAGTCATTTTTTACGATTTCAAGTAACAGTTTTGAATTTCAAATGACTTTCTCTTATAAGATCCAAGTAGAGAGTGGAAGAAGACATAGTAAAGCTAGCAAATGGGGTCATTTGTTTTTTAAACAAATACTTATTTGCATTTTGAAAAAATAAAAGAAAATTTAACACAATATTTGTATGTTTAAAAGTGCTTCTTTGAAATTTATAACAAAAAGTAGATAAAAGATAAAACATTGTTTAAATTCCCAAAACATACATATGTATGTAAGTGAAAGTTTGTGACAATATTTAATGGAAAAAATGTGAAAAAATTTAGGACTAAAGAGATTTTTAAATTAAAATAACAGCATATTTAAATAATAAGAACAGTAATAATATTATTGTAGTAATAAACCAAAATGAAGAAAAAATATCATTAAAAAATAAATATATTTTATAAACTTATGAGCTATAAAAAGAACATAGATAGATTAATAAAAAGAAACAAATTCGTTTAAACATCATAAATTATTAGGCCACAAAATGTCCTTTTTTAATTCCTCAGTACTATCCCTAACTGATGGCTTTCATACTGTTACGTTTCTTTTAAAATTACAGCAATCTGTGCACTTAACCCAACTCAATATTAATCATACGTCCTGTTGGGTTTGTCTAAATATGAATTTTATCATTTTAGTGACTATTTTGAAAATGTGATTATTTAGTTAAGTCTATATAATTATACATATCACTTGAACTGAACTCAAAAAGAACTAGAACTGAGCTAGAACTGAAGTAGAATTGAACTAGAACTGAATTAGTACCGAACTAGATCTGAACTAGAACTGAACTAGAACTGAACTAGAACTGAACTAGAAACTGAACTAGAACTGAAGTAGAACTAGAACTGAACTAAACTAGAAACTGAACTAGAACTGAGCTAGGAATGAACTAGAACTGAACTAGAACTGAACTAGAACTGAACTAGAACTGAACTAAACTGACTAGACTGACATAGAACTGAACTAGAACTGAACTAGAACTGAACTAGAACTGAACTAGAATGAACTAGAACTGACTAGAACTGAACTAGAACGAACTTAGAACTGAACTAGAACTGAACTAGAACTGAACTAGAACTGAACTAGAACTGAACTAGAACTGAACTAGAACTGAACTAGAACTGAACTAGAACTGAACTAGAACTGAACTAGAACTGAACTAGAACTGAACTAGAACTGAACTAGAACTGAACTAGAACTGAACGAACTAAACTAGAACTGAACTAGAACTGAACTAGAACTGAACTAGAACTGAACTAGAACTGACTAGAACTGAACTAGAACTGAACTAGAACTGAACTAGAACTGTACTAAAATGAACTAGAACTGAACTAGAACTAAACTAGAACTGAACTAGAACTGAACTAGAACTGAACTAGAACTGAACTAGAACTGAACTAGAACTGAACTAGAACTGAACTAGAACTGAACTAGAACTGAACTAGAACTGAACTAGAACTGAACTAGAACTGAACTAGAACTGAACTAGAACTGAACTAGAAACTGAACTAGAACTGAACTAGAACTGAACTAGAACTGAACTAGAAACTGAACTAGAACTGAACTAGAACTGAACTAGAACTGAACTAGAACTGAACTAGAACTGAACTAGAACTGAACTAGAACTGAACTAGAACTGAACTAGAACTGAACTAGAACTGAACTAGAACTGAACTAGAACTGAACTAGAACTGAACTAGAACTGAACTAGAACTGAACTAGAACTGAACTAGAACTGAACTAGAACTGAACTAGAACTGAACTAGAACTGAACTAGAACTGAACTAGAACTGAACTAGAACTGAACTAGAACTGAACTAGAACTGAACTAGAACTGAACTAGAACTGAACTAGAACTGAACTAGAACTGAACTAGAACTGAACTAGAACTGAACTAGAACTGAACTAGAACTGAACTAGAACTGAACTAGAACTGAACTAGAACTGAACTAGAACTGAACTAGAACTGAACTAGAACTGAACTAGAACTGAACTAGAACTGAACTAGAACTGAACTAGAACTGAACTAGAACTGAACTAGAACTGAACTAGAACTGAACTAGAATGAACTGAACTGAACTAGAACTGAACTAGAACTGAACTAGAACTGAACTAGAAACTGAACTAGAACTGAACTAGAACTGAACTAGAACTGAACTAGAACTGAACTAGAACTGAACTAGAACTGAACTAGAACTGAACTAGAACTGAACTAGAACTGAACTAGAACTGAACTAGAACTGAACTAGAACTGAACTAGAACTGAACTAGAACTGAACTAGAACTGAACTAGAACTGAACTAGAACTGAACTAGAACTGAACTAGAACTGAACTAGAACTGAACTAGAACTGAACTAGAACTGAACTAGAACTGAACTAGAACTGAACTAGAACTGAACTAGAACTGAACTAGAACTGAACTAGAACTGAACTAGAACTGAACTAGAACTGAACTAGAACTGAACTAGAACTGAACTAGAACTGAACTAGAACTGAACTAGAACTGAACTAGAACTGAACTAGAACTGAACTAGAACTGAACTAGAACTGAACTAGAACTGAACTAGAACTGAACTAGAACTGAACTAGAACTGAACTGAACTGAACTAGAACTGAACTAGAACTGAACTAGAACTGAACTAGAACTGAACTAGAACTGAACTAGAACTGAACTAGAACTGAACTAGAACTGAACTAGAACTGAACTAGAACTGAACTAGAACTGAACTAGAACTGAACTAGAACTGAACTAGAACTGAACTAGAACTGAACTAGAACTGAACTAGAACTGAACTAGAACTGAACTAGAACTGAACTAGAACTGAACTACGAACTGAACTGAACTAGAACTGAACTAGAACTAGAACTGAACTAGAACTGAACTAGAAAACTGAACTAGAACTGAACTAGAACTGAACTAGAACTGAACTAGAACTGAACTAGAACTGAACTAGAACTGAACTAGAACTGAACTAGAACTGAACTAGAACTGAACTAGAACTGAACTAGAACTGAACTAGAAACTGAACTAGAACTGAACTAGAACTGAACTAGAACTGAACTAGAACTGAACTAGAACTGAACTAGAACTGAACTAGAACTGAACTAGAACTGAACTAGAACTGAACTAGAACTGAACTAGAACTGAACTAGAACTGAACTAGAACTGAACTAGAACTGAACTAGAACTGAACTAGAACTGAACTAGAACTGAACTAGAACTGAACTAGAACTGAACTAGAACTGAACTAGAACTGAACTAGAACTGAACTAGAACTGAACTAGAACTGAACTAGAACTGAACTAGAACTAGAACTGAACTAGAACTGAACTAGAACTGAACTAGAACTGAACTAGAACTGAACTAGAACTGAACTAGAACTAGAACTGAACTAGAACTGAACTAGAACTGAACTAGAACTGAACTAGAACTGAACTAGAACTGAACTAGAACTGAACTAGAACTGAACTAGAACTGAACTAGACTGAACTAGAACTGAACTAGAACTGAACTAGAACTGAACTAGAACTGAACTAGAACTGAACTAGAACTGAACTAGAACTGAACTAGAACTGAACTAGAACTGAACTAGAACTGAATTAGAAATGAACAAAAACTGAACTAAGTAGAACTTGCCAAGAACTGAACTAGAATTATATATAGATCCCTAATTTGTTTTTCTGTTGTGTTTTAATATCAAAAACATTTTATTATAATTTTTAATTAGTCCTTAAATGTCCTTTTTTTGCGTAATTTTTTATTCCTTTGTTTTACAGTTATTTTGAAAATTTTGCTTAATTTAGTGTAACGGAACGTGTTTGATTTACAAAATTTTGTTGAAAATTATACTGTACGTATGATTGATATTAATTTATTTTGTTGGGAAGCCAGGCGTATGAGTAATAAACTTTTTTATGTTATTTTTTTTTGAAAAATTCTTAGGAAGTTTGGGATTTTTATTATTTTTGTCAAGATTTAAATAATTATTTTTATATTTTAATTATTATTTTTCTTTTATATATTTTAAATATTCTTTTTTTAATTTTCCACTTTTTTTTATTTTTTTTTAGATTTTTTTTTATTAAAGTTTGTTATTAAAATTTTGTTATAATATATTTTCTTTTATGTTTTTTATATTTTTTGAATGTTTAGTGTAAACAATGCGACAAAATGTATGATTACGTTAAATGTCTACAGAGACTAGACCACTAATGACGCAGTTGCCCACGCAAACGTACAAAGAAGGCGGTAGAGTTGTGTTTTTCGCTCCTTGGTTTAGATACAAACTACAACAAAAAAAAATGGGGGATACTACTATATATTAATAATAGTACAGAGATGAAAAGCAACAACAATGATTTTCAAACTGATAATGTTATAGTAGCGAAAGATGGAATGAAAAAACGAAAGCATCACAGAGCAGCCTACCCCCCCCCCAAAATAAAAGAAGTGTTAAAAGAGGCCGTTAAAATCAGCAATAAAAATAGCGCCAACTCTGTTTAGGAAATCATGGATGCCATGGCAACTTAAGAGCTGCAGAATAAAGAGAATCTAACGAGATGTGGATTTAAGAAAAAGAGAAGTAGAGATAAAATACAGATTTATATGGGGGATGATGTTAAATAAAAATAAATGAAAAAAGTATTATAAGAAAAAAGCTAAAAATAACATAGAATTGGGCAAAGAAATACAAATAAATTTTCCAAGAATTATTTTAAAAATAAAACAAAATTTCCTAGAAAAAACCTACATATTAGGTGTTTGAAAACACTTCCTTTTCATTTAAGGATACGTGTGAATACCTTTAATAAATTAAGTAATTTTTTGTTGTTATTTAATTAATAATTTATGTATATATAATATTTATCTAACACCTTTTATTAACAGCTACCGTCGGCATTTTTTTCGTATTTTTTTTATTTATTTTAATTTATTTTTAGTTTATGTAAAAAACTGGTAAATAAATTGACTAGAGTGCTAATAAGTAAGTTTTTTTCTTCTTCATATTTATGTGTATTGCGTGTGTTGTTGGTTTTATTTAATTTATTAATTATATTTATTTATTCAGGCCCCCAACTCCATGTAAAACCTGCAAACTTTTATAATATCTCTTGGTTTTTTAACCATTAAAACACACACACAAACACACTCGTATAGACACGCTTTCAAATTGACCACAATTGACCAGACGACCGCTCGATTACACCAATAAACTTAAACTGAACACGAGCTAAGGAAAAAAAGCAACAACAAAATTTTTGCACATTACTTCTAAAAGCAGTTATAAAAAGCGAGCAACAATAACAAACAGCAAAGTATACTTATAGACATCAAAAACAAGTATTTTTTGCAAAAATAATAAAGGGAAATTTCAGTTAGACAAGCAAACAAGCAGACTAAACAACAACAAAGTAATTTTCTCTTACATTACCTGGCTGCATAGAACAAACACCAAAGCATACAGAATTTCAGTTCATGTTTCTCTTTCTTTTTTCACCTACATACATAGTCCTTTACTAATAACTATGTGTAAGTTTAATTGTTTTCATTATGTCTAGTATACATAGCGAAAGAGAGTGAGAGGGAAATGTAGAACGCTTCAAGGCAAGTAGAGTGTAAAAATATAAACACGAGTTTTCTGTTTATTATTGTTTGTTGTTACTCAAGCTTAAGAATGTAAACAAATCACAAACACTTACAAAGGCACATATACACAAAGAACAGTAGTGTTTAGGGAGAACAGTTGTTTTTGTAACTTTCTAATAGTGAAGACAAAATTTAGCAGAATTTTAAGCAAATTTTAGTTAATAAGAATAAGTGCAGCTCTAATCAGTTCTAATACCGTTCTAGTTCATTTCTAGTTCAGTTCTAGTTCAGTTCTAGTTCAGTTCTAGTTCAGTTCTAGTTCAATTCTAGTTCAGTTCTAGTTCAGTTCTAGTTCAGTTCTAGTTCAGTTCTAGTTCAGTTCTAGTTCAGTTCTAGTTCAGTTCTAGTTCAGTTCTAGTTCAGTTCTAGTTCAGTTCTAGTTCAGTTCTGTTCGTTCTAGTTCAGTTCGAGTTCAGTTCTAGTTCAGTTCTAGTTCAGTTCTAGTTCAGTTCTAGTTCAGTTCTAGTTCAGTTCTAGTTCAGTTCTAGTTCAGTTCTAGTTCAGTTCTAGTTCAGTTCTAGTTCAGTTCTAGTTCAGTTCTAGTTCAGTTCTAGTTCAGTTCTAGTTCAGTTCTAGTTCAGTTCTAGTTCAGTTCTAGTTCAGTTCTAGTTCAGTTCTAGTTCAGTTCTAGTTCAGTTCTAGTTCAGTTCTAGTTCAGTTCTAGTTCAGTTTAGTTCAGTTCTAGTTCAGTTCTAGTTCAGTTCTAGTTCAGTTCTAGTTCAGTTCTAGTTCAGTTCTAGTTCAGTTCTAGTTCAGTTCTAGTTCAGTTCTAGTTCAGTTCTAGTTCAGTTCTAGTTCAGTTCTAGTTCAGTTCTAGTTCAGTTCTAGTTCAGTTCTAGTTCAGTTCTAGTTCAGTTCTAGTTCAGTTCTAGTTCAGTTCTAGTTCAGTTCTAGTTCAGTTCTAGTTCAGTTCTAGTTCAGTTCTAGTTCAGTTCTAGTTCAGTTCTAGTTCAGTTCTAGTTCAGTTTAGTTCAGTTCTAGTTCAGTTCTCAGTTCTAGTTCAGTTCTAGTTCAGTTCTAGTTCAGTTCTAGTTCAGTTCTAGTTCAGTTCTAGTTCAGTTCTAGTTCAGTTCTAGTTCAGTTTTTAGTTCAGTTCTAGTTCAGTTCTAGTTCAGTTCTAGTTCAGTTCTAGTTCAGTTCTAGTTCAGTTCTAGTTCAGTTCTAGTTCAGTTCTAGTTCAGTTCTAGTTCAGTTCTAGTTCAGTTCTAGTTCAGTTCTAGTTCATTTCTAGTTCAGTTCTAGTTCAGTTCTAGTTCAGTTCTAGTTCAGTTCTAGTTCAGTTCTTTTAGTTCTAGTTCAGTTCTAGTTCAGTTCTAGTTCAGTTCTAGTTCAGTTCTAGTTCAGTTCTAGTTCAGTTCTAGTTCAGTTCTAGTTCAGTTCTAGTTCAGTTCTAGTTCAGTTCTAGTTCAGTTTTAGTTCAGTTCTAGTTCAGTTCTAGTTCAGTTCTAGTTCAGTTCTAGTTCAGTTCTAGTTCAGTTCTAGTTCAGTTCTAGTTCAGTTCTAGTTCAGTTCTAGTTCAGTTCTAGTTCAGTTCTAGTTCAGTTCTTAGTTCTATTTCAGTTCTAGTTCAGTTCTAGTTCAGTTCTAGTTCAGTTCTAGTTCAGTTTTAGTTCAGTTCTAGTTCAGTTCTAATTCAGTTCTAGTTCAGTTCTAGTTCAGTTCTAGTTAAGTTCTAGTTAAGTTCTAGTTCAGTTCTAGTTCATTCTAGTTCAGTTCTAGTTCAGTTCTAGTTCAGTTCTAGTTCAGTTCTAGTTCAGTTCTAGTTCAGTTTTGTTCAGTTCTAGTTCAGTTCTAGTTCAGTTCTAGTTCAGTTCTAGTTCAGGTCTAGTTCAGTTCTAGTTCAGTTCTAGTTCAGTTCTAGTTCAGTTCTAGTTCAGTTCTAGTTCAGTTCTAGTTCAGTTCTAGTTCAGTTCTAGTTCAGTTCTAGTTCAGTTCTAGTTCAGTTCTAGTTCAGTTCTAGTTCAGTCTAGTTCAGTTCTAGTTCAGTTCTAGTTCAGTTCTAGTCAGTTCTAGTTCAGTTCTAGTTTCAGGTTCTAGTTCAGTTCTAGTTCAGTTTCTAGTTCAGTTCTAGTTCAGTTCTAGTTCAGTTCTAGTTCAGTTCTAGTTCAGTTCTAGTTCAGTTTTTTCCAAAATTTCTACAATATTTCATTCTATTATATATTTTTAATATCTTACACACAAAAAGCTTAACAAGCTTTCGATGATAATCGAATTTCAAAGCAAAAAAACCAAAAATAAATACGAAAAAATCCTCAGATAAATAACGATATCAATAAATGTATACAATTTAAGCCAAAACACATACACTGCTAACAATTATAGCGACGATGTTTTAAAAAAAAAAGAAATAAATAAATACAACAAAATATATTTAAACACACCCCCATTTACATCATTAAACCCTTTGAATGTATGGATTTAGATATAAATGTAACCACCATCACCTCAACAAAGATCAATATGCGTATAATAGAGATGTTAAGCAATTAAAATCTTTTAAATCCTTACAAAAAACCAAATATATTTATGTATACATATATTTAGATATAAGCAAACATGTATACATTCAGATGTATGTACAAGGTCAGAGAAACCTTCTATTTGGCTAAAAGTTTTAAAATATACATAGTTAAAAATATATATAGTGTGATTGTTGTTGCTGCTTTGAACAGATGCTGTTAACACTTAATATAATAACAACAGAAATTTTCGTCATAACAGCTTTATGTAAAACTGTGCAGAATTATAAAAGTAGACTAGACTATAGACTAGACCATAGACTAGACTTTAGGCTAGACTATAGATTATACTATAGACTTGATTATATACTAGGCTAAAGACTAGACTATATACTAGGCTATAAACTAGGCTATAGACTAGATTATACTATAGACTAGACTATTGACTAGAATATAGACTAGACTATAGACTAGGCTATAGACTAGACTGTAGACTACACTATAGACTGGACTATAGACTAGACTATAGACTAGACTATAGACTAGACTATAGACTAGACTATAGACTAGACTATAGACTAGACTATAGACTAGACTATAGACTAGACTATAGACTAGACTATAGACTAGACTATAGACTAGACTATAGACTAGACTATAGACTAGACTATAGACTAGACTATAGACTAGACTATAGACTAGACTATAGACTAGACTATAGACTAGACTATAGACTAGACTATAGACTAGACTATAGACTAGACTATAGACTAGACTATAGACTAGACTAAAGACTAGACCATAGACTTGACTATAGACTAGACTAGAGACTAGACTAGAGACTAGACTAGACAAGAGACTAGACTATAAACTAGACTATAGACTTGACTATAGACTACACTATAGACTTGACTACAAACCAATAGACTAGACTATAGGCTATATTATAGAATAGACTATATACGACACTATTGACTAAGCTATAAACTAGACTATACAGGCAACAGGTTATATTATACAAGGCTATAATCTAGACTGCAGACTAGGCTATATAGTAGACAATAGATTAGACTATGGAGTAGGCTGTAGACTAGACTATAGAATGGACAATAGAATATACTATAAAATAGACTATAGACTAGACTTTAGGCTAGACTATAGACTTGACTATAGACTAGGCTATAGACCAGGCTATAGACTAGACTATAGACAAGACGATAGATTAGACTATATGCTAGACTATACTTTAGAGAAGACTGTAGACTAGACTATAGATTTGACTATAGACTAGACTTTATACATGACTACAGACTTCATTATAGAATATACTATATACTATATCATTGACTAAGTTATAAACTAGATTATAGACTAGACTATATATTTGACTATATATTAGACTATAGACTAGACTATATGCTAGACTATAGACTAGGCTACAGGTTATACTATAGACTAGGCTATAGACTACACTATAGACTAGGCTATAGACTTCACTATAGACTAGGTAATAGACTAGACTTTAGACTGAACTTTAGGCTAGACTATAGACTAGGCAATAGACTAGGCTATAGACTAGGCTATAGACTAAACTATAGACTATTCTATAAACTAGACTATATACTAGAATATAGACTAGACTGTATGCTTGACTATATGCTAGACAAGACTGCAGACTAGACAATAGACTTGACTATAGACTAGACTATAGACTAGACTATAGAATATACTACAGAATAGACTATATACTAGACTATTGACTAAGCCATAAACTACTATATAGACTAGGCTATATATTAGACTATATGCTAGACTCTATACTAGGCTATAGACTAGACTATACACTAGACTATAGAATAGACCACACTATGGACTAGTCTACAGACTGGACTATAGTCTATATTATAGACTCTGAGGTTACATAGTTGAGATTATAACTTAAGCACAAAATATAACAGCAAACGACGCGCTATCTTACTGTTAATGTACAGCACTGTTAGTAACTGTTATATTAATATCAAAACAAAGTTATTTGTTTGTGTGCTCCGTAGTATAAAACAGCTGTTTACGAACAACAACAACAAGTAAACAATTG